CGAGGCCCTGAGAAAAACCCACAACTAATCCTTCATCACAGCTGTCTGCGCTCTTGATCATCTGCCATCCCCCGAACAGCGACTTCTTTTTTCTGGTGACTGCAGGCTTGAATGACCTAGTGTGGAGAGTTTCAAGTATATACAAGGGGGGGAAAGGAAAAGGAACCTCAAATAAGCCTCAGCCAAAGGTTTTGTGCCTAGGACTTCCTGTGCCTGCAGCCAGGGTTAGGGCCGTTCCCCACCCCGTCCATCCCTGTAGCGTGTCCCCGACAAGGAAGACACCGGGACAGCCCAGCTTCGCCTTGACTGACCCACTCCTGTCCCTGAAACCAGTCAGGAGCGCTGTGGTTTATGCCCCACGGTAGGGCCCTTCTCCCCCTGGGACAGGTGTGGGAGCAGCCTGACCCCAGCCCCTCTCACTGCCCACTCTGGTGCCTCCCCACAAATACCTGGCTTTGGTGGCTTGTTGAATGAACAGGTTGGCTCACTATTCTCTGGGAGCTGATAGGGTAAGATACTGGTGCCTCATTTCATAAGAACATAAGAAGGAAGTAAGCAATTTGGCCAACAGATACAGGATGGACGGGTTTTCAGGCCTCCTTGAAGGTGGCAATCAGGAGGCCAGATTATGAACGTTGTTGCCAGTGTCTCTCTCCCCTCCCTTCCCTTGGCCAGGGCCGTATGTGCAATCCCATTCTTACACGAAATTAGGACTTGGAAAGGCATTGAAAACAAAGATTTTTTTTTTTAGGAAAATCACATTAAATGTTTTATTTTGCTTATGTTCTACTGTTTATCTACTGGGTGGGACTGAGCCACACCCCGTCATTCGAGGATGCGTGTTGTAATGAGCTCTGTTTTCGCAGGTCCCTGAGATTTCTAACGGTCGTCTAGCAAAGCAGAACCCTTACCCCAAGGACTCTGGGATCTTACTCAGCGGAGGGGATCCTTGCTAGCCTTGCGGGCCAAGGGCCTTTTCAGGAGACAGGGACTCATTCCTCTTCCCAGGAAGGTTCTCTTTTCGAGGAAATCTAAACATTTGGGATCCAGGGCTTGCTTTTTTTTTTTTTTTTAAGATTTTTTATTTATTTATTTGACACAGAGAGACACAGTGAGAGAGGGAACCACAAGCAGGGGAAGTGGGAGAGGGAGAAGCAGGCTTCCCGCTGAGCGAGGAGCCCGATGCGGCGCTCCATCCCAGGAACCCGGGATCATGACCTGAGCCGAAGGCAGACGCTTAACAACTGAGCCACCCAGGCGCCCCTCCAGGGCTTGCTTTTGATCTAAAGAGCTGGTCCCTTGCTGCCAACATCAGAGAAGTGATAAAATATGTACCGTTTCAAACAAGGACCAAAACACCTTCAGGTATGACCGCTAACAGCTTCCATGCTTCGTGCATGTCAGTAAAGGGCAAGAAAGGAGACAAAGAGCGGAGGAAGCAGGTGCAAAGAGTGAGGGACCAGACGGGACAGTAGCGGAGACAGGGCATGGAGTATTCAAACAGTAGCCGTGTGAAGGGGGGCGGGGGGGGCACACAGGCATTTTGTTGGAGTTGGCCCAAAAATCCACAAGATACAGGGGAGAAGTATGGATTGAGGAGGAGGGGAGATGCAGGGAACCAGAGCTTGGGAAGGCTTGTGTGGGATGGAAGGCTCTGAAGTGGGGTGTGAGGGAAACCAGCCTTAGGCTGATCGCATGGGAGGTCAGGAGCACGAGTGGTACCAAGGGTTGGCCCCGCTGCAGGCAGGGAGGCAGGCCTCAGGTATGCCCATGCCCGTCCGAGCTGCAGGCTGCCCTGGCCGTGATGAGGTGGGTCTGACTCCTGGGAAGGAACTCCCATCAGGCCGAAGGCAATCCTCTGGAGGAGAAGGCGTTTTTGAGCATTTTAGCAGCCAACATTCAGGGCAGCTGGAGGATGGGTTCACCTGCAGAGTGAAGGGGATCTGGGCGGGGCACAACAGTGTCCGTGACACTGAGGAACCTGGGAGGCATGCCTGGCCTCCTGGAGGTTGCAGAAGTAAAAGGGGACATAAGGCAGATGGGATTGGTGCTGATGTTCTCTGAGCTGCATCTCTCCATTTGTCTCTCCAGATCTCTTTCTCAGCCTGCCCTTATGGTTGACATTGCCCAGGCTCCCTCACCCTCTGACTTCAGGTTGCCACTGGGACGTGCTGCCAAGATTGCAGGGTGAACCCTGCTTCCTTCAGGACACCGTTGGACAGCGGGGCTGTGCTCTCCTTGAGGCTAGAGGTTTTGTCCTGAAGAGCCGTTCCTGTCACTGAGCTCTCCTCCGGTCCCCTAAGAGCCCTCCAGCACCCCTGGATGTTTCTGTTAACCCTGCCCACGCTTTTATGACTGGTCTCTACATCTAACTCTCTTGAATCATCCCTCCGAGTGTCCAGTCAGGAGAAGGAGGGCAATCAGCCCTGGGCTCTTAGCCCTGCACACTCCTGCACACCCATCAGCTACACACCCTGTTAAATGCGGAGTCTGAGTCAGCGGGTCTGGGGTGGGCCTGGGATTCTGCATTTCTAGCAAGCTTCCAAGTGGTGCCTGTGTTGCTGGCCTGGGAACCACACTGAGCCCTGATCCTGGGCTTCGTCGTAGTGAAGGACCGGGTCTCCGGGTGAGGTGAGGAAGAGGAAAGGAGGCAGGGGGAGGGGCGGGGCTGTGCAGATGTCCCTGAAATCCTGCTACAAGAGGTAACAAGGCGGAGACTCCAAGAGGGTGGTCTTAGAGCAAATATGAAGACATGCTTTTCGAGTTTTAAACCATCATGATGTAACCCAGATATAAAATACATTTGGCAACCGTTTAGGGGAAATAATTATTTATTTTAAAGATCTCAGAAGCTTTGTGTTGATGGACCATCCGACCCTCAATTTTCATGAACATGTCTCAAGACATGCATGATGACATAATTTAGATTTACAAATGTTTTCATCATTCCCTTTCCATATGCATTTTTAGATCCTGTAACATTAATTTATTTTTTTAAAAAGATTTTATTTATTTGGCAGAGAGAGAGATAGCGAGAGCAGCAACACAAGCAGGGGGAGTGGGAGAGGGAGAAGCAGGCTCCCCGCTGAGCAAGGAGACCAACGTGGGGCTCGATCCCAGGACCCTGGAATCATGACCTGAGCCGAAGGCAGACGCCTAACGACTGAGCCACCCAGGTGCCCCTGTAACATTAATTTAGATGACAGCAAATCAATAAAAACTTAAAAACTGATGTGTTGGGTTTGTTTTCATGTAGTTCATATCTATAAAATAATACATTTGCATGTATTAATGTATCTGTAATAAATTTATTAATACATTCGTATTATCATTACCTATTTTTGTGTTGGTATTAAGTCAGTGTTCTTGGGTTATTACATAATAATAGTCAAATAACACAATCCCAATGTTGAGATGGGGGTTATTTTATATAGTTAACAATAGAAAAGTTATCTTGTCATAGATTAGAAAAGAATCTAATTTATAAATATATACAGTCTCTGGCGTCTATTCTGTCGTGTTTTGCTTTGGCTACATGCAGAAAGTATTTCAGTCCTATTCTAGATCTCACCTGACACAGAGGTGTTCCATCCCATAGCTTCAGGCCTTCATTTCACCCAGTAATGGGGACTAGCATCTTTGATTTTGCTGCATTGCCTTTAGAGCTACTTAGCCAGTTATTTTTCCAAAGCTTGCACCGGAAAGAGGTGGCAGGGTGGAAAACATGTTATGCAAATTCCTTTTTCCTTAGATCAAGGACCACCACCAACTTTTCAGTTGTAACGATCAGGATTTCTCTCATGCCCCATAAAAGCACGTAGACACTTAGGGTCCCAAAATCAATGTCCAGGCTTCACCATTTTTTACCACTGAAGACTGTTTCTAAGAAGGTGACTCACACTGTAAAAATATAACGTGCTTCGTTTCCGTGCGGATGCGCAGGAGCCCACCGGAGATGGCAGGGTCGGACGCTGCCCCCGGGGCACGCGGCAACGCGGACTTCCCGGCGAGGCAAGCTGTGGGTGTTCCTCACCGTCCGAGCCGCCAGAGCCTCCGCCGGCTCGAAGCTCACGATTCACACGACAGAGCAACGGTTCTCAAACTTGAGTGTGCTTCAGAATCACCTGGAGGGCTCCTCACAGCGCAGCTGGCTCAGCCCCGCCCCCGCGGCTTCGGCTTCCTGCTGAGCTGATACAGCCCGTCTGGGGGCCATGCTCCGAGAACCACTGTCGTAAACGTGCTGAGCCGTCCTAAGACGACCCAGATACTAGGAAATGGGTTGCTCAATAGCCAGGAGGAGTCCATCCTGGGCTCATGATGTTTCCACGGAGCTCCCAATTGCCACAACAGAGTACAGAGGAGGTCAGCACAGAGCATTTCGTATTTCTTTTTAATTCCTCTGCTTTCCCACTGAATAGGTACCCATACTTGATATCTTAGTCCGCTTAAAACATTGTTTTCCTCCCGTGTCATTCCCTCTTACTTGGGTTCAGAGAAATGGTTAATCCTGAGAGAGGAAACCAAGAACTGAGTTTTGTTAGTTCAGCGAAAAATTCTAGGGCATTCCTAGGCACAGGCTGGTCAAGGACAACTAGGCCACTGCTTCCAAGAAGAGATGATGCTTACTGGTACAAAACTAACCGTTTTTTAATTTTTTCTTTTATTTTTAAAAAGATTTATTTATTCATTTGGGAGAGAGAGAGCATGTGCTTATTTATTCATGTGAGAAGGAGAGAGAGAAAAATCATCAAGCAGACCCCCTGCTGAGCACGGAACCCAATGTAGGGCTTGATCCCAGGACCCAGAGATCATGACCTGAGCTGAAATCAAGAGTCAGACGCTTAACCGACAGAGCCACCCAGGTGTCCCCAAAACTAATCACGTGTTTTTTTAAAAAAACAATGGTCTGTCCTACAAAATGGAGGGAACAAAGGTGGATGTGTCTTGCTACTCCTCACCTCCCTCCCCACCCCAACAAAGCATCAGTCCTAAATTCTCTCGGATTTCTTTTTTTTTTTTTTCCTCCCTCCAATTTCAACAAAAAATTAAAAAGAAACCAAAAGCTTCCAGACTATGTCCTGGTTCTTGGCTCATTTGCCTTCACAATGTCACAACATTAAAACGAAATAACCCATTACTTTTCTATGTCCCACCCCCAACAATTAAATATCTCTATCCTAAATAACACTGCTCTCAAGTGCTCAGTTTATCACACTTTTTCTAAAAATTTCAGGTCACGGAGTTAATAATTTTTTTCTTAAAACAAGGGAATGGAGACAAGAGCATGATGAAGTGAGAGGTGAGTTTTGACCTCTTACTGGAATTAGGGCCTGAGCACAGGTCTGAGATCAGCACAGTACATTCCAGGGTGGTTGGTTAAGGAGATACTGATGCATATGATGATGCCACCAGAGCCTTCTTGTCCTACCAGGTGCCTCCAGAGGGACTTCTCGGCCTATAGAACGAAGACCCGAGAAAAAGAGAGACGAGCCCTACTCCACCTGTTTCATGCTCTAGTGAATTATCAGTGTTTATCAATGAGACGTGGCAGTTTCTTTTCCTCCTAAGTGGCTTCGGGAGAGCCGGCTCTGAAGGTGGCTAGACCTTCTCCATCTCAATCTGCTGGTGGTAGTGCCGTGCCTGCCGCTGCCCAGCATTCAGCTTGTACACGGAGCTCTTGTGCTGGCACTTACGGTGGCCCCACACTGCCCCCACGCCTGCCAGGAGCACCAGCAGACACAGGACGGTGACAGTGGTGGCGATGACAGGGCCTCCGCTGAGGCCGGGACACCCATCCCCTATACACGGCTCCACACTTGGAAGAAGCTCCTCACCTGCACCTGGGCCAGGGCTTTCCTGTCCCAAGAATTCCTCAGACAGCAGGTATGGGAAACTATCCTGGACCTCAGTAGCAATGGTTTCCCCTGGAGTCTGGCTGGCTGCCATGATAGTTGAGGGAATGTGATTCGGCATCTGCTGGACAGCAGTTGTCACCGTCCCCAGGGTAGAGCTGGTGAGTTCATAGGGTAGAGCGGCCATGGGAGATGTCTCTGTGGCAAAGCTCCAGGGAACAGTAGACTGGTACCTGGTCAAGTCACCATCTCTCTTGCTCGGACTCTCAGTTTCAGACACATTCATTGGTCTGAGAGCCAAAGCTTCTACGTCTGGTGTTTGAGAGGGAAGAACTGAACTACGGGTCATGTCGTCACTTGGTGTGAGGGTGGTACTCCCGGGCTTCTTAACTTCTACAGGAATGGGCTGATTAGGAGTAACGGGAACCCTCTCTTCCAGCCCTACTGACCCATCTCTCTTGTCCCCATCTTCCTCCTCTTCCTCCTCTTCTGCCTCTATCTTCCTCCAAGCCCCATCGGTCACAGGGTAGCCATCTAACCAGGACTCATCACTGCTGCTCACCATTGGGTCCCCTGTCTTGCTGTCAGTCCTACCCAAGAATGGCCCCAAAGGACCACGAGTGCTGCTATAGATCACCTCGGCTTCAGGTTCACCTGGAGCTGGTGTTGGGCTACTATGGCTGTCTCTAGCTGGAAACTGCTTTTTGGTGCCATCATTCATCTCTTTCTCCAGCTCAGGCTTGTGGAAGTTCTCAGCAGGAAACCAGAACAAGTACTTCTGGTTTAGCTGGGATCCTGGCAGGTCTGTGGGGACACTGCTTCCCATGATGGACAAGCCTGTAGTTGGCACAAAGGCTGTATCCTGGGCTATGTTTTCTCGCCCCACAGAAATGGAGACCAGACGGTCCTGTCTTGGAGCCTCCTCAGAGGCCTCTCCCGGACCTCTGTCCTCCTCTGCCTCTGTCCAGGAGTCCTCCATGAGCTCTCTGAATGACACGGATCTGTCATCTGGGAAATTATCCTCATAGTCAATATGTGCCTCAGCTGCATCTGGAAGGGGAGAAAGAAAAACCCCATTAGGTCCAAGGTCACAGAGCCAGCAGCGTAGAACACAAGAAAAGGAAATAAAAAGCATAAGGACTGGAACAGACAAAATAAAACTGTCATTCACAGATGATATGACTGTGTATCACAGACAAATCCAAAGAATCTACATATAAACTGTTACAATTAATATATGCATTTATCAAGGACACTGGGTCTATTGTCAATGTAAAATATCAACTGTATTTCTATATACCAGCAATATACAGAAACAAAAATTTTAAAAGACACCATTTGCCATAGCATTAAAAAAAATCAAACACCTGGGGCTCCTGTGTGGCTCAGTCGGTTAGGCGTCTGCCTTCGGCTCAGGTCATGATCCCAGGTCCTGGGATCGAGCCCCGCATCAGGCTCCCTGCTTAGCGGGGAGCCTGGTCTCCTCTCCCTCTGCCTGCTGCTCTGCTTAGTTGAGCTCTATCAAATAAATAAAATCTTAAAAAAAAAAAAATCAAACACCTAGGAATAAAGCTAACAAAAGATGTGCAAGATTTCAACATGGAGTGGTATGGAATATTGCCAAGCAAAATTAAAGACCTCACTAAATGAAGGGATATACCATGATCATGTAATGGAAGGCTCAGAATTGTTAAGCTGTCAACTCTGTCCAAATTGATCTATACAGATTTAATACAACCCTAGTAAAAATCTCAGGCATTGACAAGCTGATGCAAAAATTTATGGAAATGCAAAGAACCAAGAACATTTCTTGAAATCTACAAAATTTCAAGATTTACTCTAAAACTGGAGTACTTTTTAAAACTGTGATATTGGCGGGGCGCCTGGGTGGCTCAGTCATTAAGCATCTGCCTTCGGCTCAGGTCATGATCCCAGGGTCCTGGGATCGAGCCCCGCATCGGGCTCCC